AAAGCCGGGGGGCGCCAGCGGCGGGTTCGGCGTTCAAGGCTTGAAACCTCGTAAGAGGCGCAGGAATTTGGGGACAGGAACAGGGATAATCCAGATAGCAGCCTTGGAAAACACCAATGGCCGTTTGCCTAAGTAATTACAGACCAGTCAGAGACCGAGCAGAGAGCAACTGGTGAGAAAAGGAGGCCCACGGGAACCACGGGGGAGCCAGGAAAAAGAACGGGAATGAACAGAAAAATCGGGGAAAGCTTTCTCCACCGGCGCGGGGTAAGAAGCCCGGGGCGCGGGGGAGGAGGGCCCGAGCAGCGAGCGGAGCACCCCGGTGGCGTGCCATCTGAAGCGGGGTCAACGTCGGGCCCTTCCGACCAACCATCGACGTCGTTTCCGCACTCGTCGTCCAGGCCCAGGAGCGTACCTGAGAGAAACGGTCTTTCCTCACTTATTCACACCTTGCATTACCTAATTCTGCCTTAGCAGACTCAAGTATGTAACCGTTTCCTTCTGCGATTTCGCAGTCGCAAACGCACAATCCCAGCCAAAACACCTTTGGCCATCCATCCAGAGTGTGGGGATCCCCAGCTCTCCTCCCATGATCCATCGTTCTTGAACCAAACCGCCTACTGGAAAGCGCGTCTTGGAAGGACATCTTGGGGCCTTGGTCCTCGGCTACCATCACTCCGAGCATACGTTCCCCTCCATCCTCCCGCCCACGACCCCTCGTTTTTCCCACCAAGCATATTTCGCCGGAGCCCTCCCCTTCATAAAGGATTCCGCACCCAAACTTCGTGCCTCTGAGCGTACCCTTTTCCCCCGAGGATTTGACATATTGTCGATAAACTTCTGTCTCACGTGTCTTCGCGTCTTTTGGTGCCGCGCCGTGCTTGTACATACCTAGATACCCCCCCCCCCCAATCATACCGTCGCAAAGTCACATGTTATCTGTGCCGCACGACGTTTGAACAAGAAGGTTAGTCTCATTTTACACCACCTGTAGAGTAGTCATTTTGCGTCACCAATCGACACGAATTCGATATCATGGGGAGTGAGATGGCCGTGACCTCACATTGCCAGCCAAAGCTTGATCTCCCAAGGCTAATCACAAACACAGAGACCTAAAGGGTCTAACAACCAATCCTCACAAAAAAAACACAGAAAGAATACCGCCAAAATGCCTGCGGGAATCACAGAGCTCCATGGCGTCAAGCGGGCCGACATTCACAAACAGGTCAAGCAGCTGATCCACGACATGGTCAACATTAAGGACACCACGGGCGAGTTCCTCATGACGCTCGAGAACGGCCGCGTTATCGACACAAAGGGCTGGGGCGACTGGGAATGGACCCACGGCATCGGCCTGTATGGCATCTGGAAGTACTACGAGCTCAATGGCGACCCGGCCGACCTCAAAATCATCGAGGACTGGTTCCGCGACCGCTTCGAGGAGGGCCACAAGGGCAAAAACATCAACACCATGGCCGTCTTCCTCACCCTCGCCTACGTCTATGAAAAGACCGGAAACGAGACCTACCTCCCCTGGCTCGACAGCTGGGCTGAGTGGGCCTACCATGACCTCCCCCGCACAAAGTACGGCGGCATGCAGCACATCACCTACCTCGAGGTCAACGACCAGCAGCTCTGGGACGACACCCTCATGATGACCGTCCTGCCCCTCGCAAAGATCGGTCTCGTCCTCAACCGCCCCCACTACGTCGAGGAGGCCAAGCGCCAGTTCCTCCTCCACCTGCAGTACCTCTTTGACGCGCCTACCGGCCTTTTCTTCCACGGCTGGACCTTCCACGAGGGCGGCCACAACTTTGCCCGCGCCCGCTGGGCCCGCGGCAACAGCTGGCTCACCATCGTCATCCCCGAGTTCATCGAGCTGCTCAACCTCACGGGCGACGACGCCCTCCGCTCCCACCTCATCAACACCCTCGAAGCTCAATGTGCCGCCCTCGTGCCGCTGCAGGTCGAAAACGGCCTGTGGAGGACGCTGCTCGACGTGCCTGAGTCCGAGGGCTCCTACGTCGAGGCGAGCGCCACGGCCGGTTTCGCCTACGGCATCCTCAAGGCGCAGCGGAAAAAGTACATTGGAAAGGAGTACGAGGCCGTCGCCGTCAAGGCGATTAATGCCATTCTGGAAAATATTAGCCCGGAGGGCGAGCTGCTCAACACGTCGTTTGGCACGGGTATGGGTCACGATTTGCAGCATTACAAGGATATTCCGCGGACGAGCATGCCCTACGGCCAGGCTATGGCTATGATGGCACTGGTCGAGTTCTTGCGCGTCTTCGTATGAAGCTCATGATATAATGCTATATGAAAAAAACATGAAACTGAATGAACAAACAAACTATGGTCTCACGGTGCTACTTTCCTATGAAGTACAATGGCGTGTGACCCAAGCTTTCGAGAATCGAGGATTCGGTTTTACACGCTGGCCGATGTCGCAATGAGTTCAGGCACCTGACTGAAACTCCCCTGTAAGCTTCGTCTTTAGGACGCGTGCGGATCTCTCAGGGGATGGAGGATTCGGTTCAGTTTTGACCGAGACATCAAGATATCTTTTGTCGCGAGCCTTGGCGTTGGGGTTGACTCCCCATGCACTCGGGGGTGCCTTGTCAGTACCTTGCGGAAGACGGATACGGGATACAGGGACATGAGCAGAAGCGAAGACTGCTTGATCATCGCTTAAAAGCTAAAGAAGGTCTCTTGATGTATCCCTTGGCGATCTCTACTGCATTACGGACATAAGAACCTGACTGGACACATAATGGTCACCTTGACTCAGCTGGAAGAGCATCGCTTGGTGACCGATATTGCTTTGAGTTCCGGGCAGAAAATGCTCAGGATTCTGTAGCACGATACTAACTCCGAAGGCACTGTGTGTCGCAGGCTTGAATCTGCTCGGCAGGTCGGTGGAAATCGACTTCAAGCTGTTTCCAGTCGTGATAATGATGTGCGATCCGTGGGGGCCGAGGGTATACCGCGCTCCTGGGAATTTTGTATACATGCCACACCCCCGAGGCCCGGTTCAATGCGGCCCGAGACATGTACGCCTTTGGTTGCAGCCGGACGTGCGGTTTTTATAGTACCCGAATCCGGGGCTGCGGGGCACTCCGGGTGTCAATCTGCCATGTAACTCTCCAAAATGTGTCTGAACGAAGAATCTTCCAATGACATGAGAGAAAAGGCAAGACAGACAAGGATCAAGGCGAAGGTTTCGCACGAGCTCGGTATTGGGAGCTGTTTGTCGGTGAATGTTACCGAGATATTGAGTCGCGTCTGTTTAAATATATCATGGCATGGACATCCGTGATCCGTTTACGCTAGCGATCATAAAAGGGTTGACATCTTGTCGATTCACAGGGTCGCCCTATTTGCAGTCGCCTCTCTCTCTGTGTTGTTGAGCATTCATAAGACGTTCAAAGAGACATCTTGCAAGACTTGGTCTCAGTCTTAACCATAGTTTCGACACGAGATCAATGAAAGATTCGCTAGCATCGCCCACCAGCTACCAGCATCCGCACATGATTCGAAGCCCTTGACGTAGTTCTTCTTCTTTTGGGGCGTCTAGCACAGAATCGTGGACCATCTCTTTGCCAGTTTAGAGAAGCACACGACAGGACCCTGCGTGAGGCTAGCTTCGGAGGATTTCTGATCCAGTGTCAGATGTCTCGCTGCCACGTTAGATGCGGCCTCGGAGAGATTTGGCCTGGTGCCAACATGTGTTGATCACAAGGCAGTCTCTCGTAAACACTGCCGCTACTTTGAAAAGCCGAGTACTGTGTTGGTGCGGATTCCCGACGGTGTGTTGAGTCAAATGATTGGATGCAGTCGAAGAGACGAACGGTTGGAGATGCCGAGGAATACACGTGTAGTGGTGTAGACTGCGATAGCAAGGTCAAACGTCAGGCTTCTAGTGGCCGTTTACGTTTTATCTACTGGGTGGGAGGGAAGATCTGGGACGATCAAGGCCAGATGAGAGATCCGAGATCAGATGGCATCAGCCAATGACAAAGTGGTGATTTGGAGGGTGAGCGTCATCTCCTGCGCGTGATGCGAGAAGAAAGTGCAGTGCGAGCCTCGTGCCTGCCCCGATCTCCTGGTGCGTTGATTGGCTGTTAGTGAGATTGGTGTCTGTCAGTGCGGAAAGCTTAACTTCCCGCCTGCCACCTTCATTTTGTCTTGAGCACGAGCCACAGGCAGCCGCGAGCACTGAGCACGGATCACCCCAGACCCCCAAGCGAAGAGACTACGTACCCAGGAAAATCAGAGGGAAGGATCGAAGGGAGGGAAGGAAAGGGAAAGAAGGAAAAAAAAACCGAAAAGAAAAGTAGTGAAAAATGAGGTCACCCATGTCCGTGCTTCTTTCCAATTGGACCTTCACCCGTCACCTCTCCCCGTCTTCGCTTGCTCTTCTGGGCAGCTCTTACGTCGCATCAGGCCCAGGCCGAGAGCTACCCGCCGATATCCTTCCGCCGACCTGCAGCACCTTCCATGTTCTTCAACCACCCGCTTAATTAATTGCCTTACTTCATTGCGTCGCAACATTATCCGCGCCTCTTCTCCCCTCGCCCATCTTGCGACCTTCGAACTCCCCCTCCACCTTCTCACCTCCCAGCTCAGGACATTGAGAGACGCACATCTCCACCCTCCCCAGTGTGCCCGAGTCGTCAATTGTCCTGTTCTCCTCCCAAACCACGTCGCCGCTTCCCATTTATAGGCAACTCGAGACCATGCGCTGGAGGTTGCGATTCTGCATTCCATCTCCGTGAGACCCTGGCAGCGGGGTAGCCTCGTCCCAGCAGCTACACCCGAACAAGCAGCTCACCACCGAACCCATCTCCGACCATCATAAACCGATAACCCCCGTAGACCGTGACCGATCTCGACGACCATCTCGACGACGTCACCGCTTGTGCTGCAAGAACCTGTGTAGCTGCATCTGTTCGCCCTCTGGCATCAGGCCCTGCGCCGCGTCGATTGCCCCAGCTGCCAACATGCCTCGCACCACCAACAGCAATAACATTGCTCGCGCAGCTGCTGTGTCCCGGACAGCCTCGTCCGGTTCATTCCACGCAGGCGCTCCCATACCGACTCTTGGAAACATCGAGTCCAGCCGGAGGACCACGATGCGACGCCAGTCTACTCATAGATATCACACCTTTCCGACACCACCTCCCAAGACCCCCCGCGAGCAATCCTCGGCAGAGCTTTTCCCACATTCCGATGAAGATTCCGATGCCTCAGACGACGATCACCAGCAGACTCCTCTGCCTGTCAAGCAGCTTGCTTTGCTTGCCTTCCTCTCCTTGAGCGAGCAGACTGCATTAAACTCCATCGGCCCTTACCTGCCTCAGATGGTCGAGTCCTTCGCCGATATCCCCGACTCTCAGACAGGTCTGTATGTCGGTATCCTTGCCTCAGCATTCGCCCTCGCTCAATTATCAACGAACCTACTATGGGGCTACCTATCAGACGTCGTGGGTAGAAAACCGACCATGGTTCTTGGCACCTTCATGTTGGCATGCTGTTTTGTGGGTTTCGGTTTCTGCAGGACCTACTGGCAGATCGTAGTCGTTCATGTGGCCATGGGTATGCTCAATGGCAACGCTGCCGTGGTTCCCACCGTCCTAGGCGAAGTGACGGACCGCTCTAATCAAAGCCGGGCCTTTACATGGCTTCCCGTCATCTACTCCCTAGGCGGCATTACGGGTCCAGCCCTGGGCGGGTTGCTGGTTGGTACCATGGGAAAACGATACCCATATTTGGCGCCCAACTTGCTGAGCGCAGGGTTACTGTTCATCAGCGTGATTGTTGTCGCAATCTGGTTCGAGGAGACACTGGAAACCTTGGAGCCAGACCACGCAGCATGGATTCCTGCCTGGGCGCGCAAAGCTTGGTCCTGGATTTCGCGAGAAGCGCAACCGCGCAGAGGCTCATGGGCCACCCGCTGGCCTCGCCGCGGATCACAAGCCGTGGTCAGCACTGACGACGACGAAGAAGAAGAAGATGATGACGAGGATGAGGCGGGAGAGGATCAAGGGTTGCTGCACCATGCATCTGAGAACGATGCCCAGGCCGACGATGACGCGAAACTCCCGGGCGATCTGGCGACATGGCGTCAACTTTTGAACCGCAACACGGTGCTTGTGCTATTGACGTACCTAGTATTCCAGCTGTCCAACATCTCCTACAACAGCTTGTACCCGATTTTCGCCGATGCCAATCCTCCAACTGGGCGCGGTCTTCCGCCAAGCAAGATCGGTATCAGTCTCAGTCTGGCCGGCGTGGCTACTATAGCGTTTCAAGCTTTCCTCTTCCAGCACTTGAAGACGCGGCTGGGGAACCTGGGAACCTATCGCATTGCCTTGCTGGGACTGGCCGTTAGCATGGCCCTGATGCCCTGGATTCCGTACTTGGACGACGAGCCGCTGTTCGGTATCGGCAGCGGTTCTGCCTGGCTGTACGCGGAACTCGGCGTTATCTTAATCATTAAGAATATCTGCGCCGTGGGCGGCCTGTCTAGCGTCATGCTCTTGGTAAGCCATCTTTGGATGACTGAAATCATGAATTTTTGCTAATGCTGGCTGTAGATCACAAACTGTGCACCGAATCATGCTACTTTGGGAACTTTGAACGGCATCGCCCAGACGCTGTCCGCCGCGGGCCGCAGCTTTGGGCCATTCGTCTCCGGCTCCCTTTTCACGCTCTCCACGCGTGTCCATCCCAAGGGTGAGGCCCTAGTCTGGGGCATATTCGGCGGTATTGCCCTCTTGGGATGGATTGGCTCCCTCGCCATCCGCAACCGCGGCCTCGAGAGTGACGATTGGGTTGGCGAGGAAGATGGCACTGACGGTGAAACTGAGCCATGAGCCATACCACCGAGGTCTGCGCCAAGAGCAATCAACACATGTTGAACCGCCGGATTTTGTGTTTTTAATACGGTCGGAAAATGTTTCGGATAATCATAGCATTGGGAAAAGGTCGGAAATGCCTGGTCAAAGCGGATATATTTGCATCAATAGAGAGGGGTGGAACCAGCTCACCCTCTGAAAGAAGACGAAGAGGCAGACAGCTACACGGTATAGATTCAAGAGGCCAGTGCCGGGCCCAGACTCGTTAATCTCAAGATTTGATTTGGTCTTTGAATACCTCATTCAGCATTGGATTTGAGAATATGGATCATGTGCAGTGATGTGCGATGTAAACAGGCTGTACGAGCATCGCCGTGTTCGCAAGGCGCTGCATGTTCACCTCCGCATCGTGGCGATTGCTGCTTGTGATAGGTCGATTGCAGTGAGTATTTTCATCAGCTCTTAAGCGTCGTGAAAAGAAGGCCATGGACATTGGAAATAGCTTAACTACACCCGAAAAACATGGATGATACTCCGTCGGCGGACCGGCGTAATTTGTGAACCACCCAAAGTTCTCACCACCGCGTTCGGCATGTTCTGTTCCACTCCGCTCCGCATGCCCCCGATTCGGGCGCCATGCACGCCGTTGCGCCCTGCAAACTTTGACGGCGGTTCCCAGTTCTTGCTTGCTAAGCGATTCGATGATTCTAGAATAGTCTACGTCTTGGGCCTGTAGTGATCTAGGCATAATCTTGCGTCGTCAAATAGTTAATGCCCGTTGCGCTTAGTTGGTACCCACGCGTCCATGATGCTTCGTTTTGTGGGAGAGTTTGACGCGTCTTGTAGCGTGCAGTGCTCTGAGCATAGTTGTGACATTTCATACTCATTCAACCGAGAGCAAAGTTGCGCAGGAATAAATGCTTCTCCTCTCTTGATGCTTCTAGATATGGGTAGATGAGATTTATCTGTAGGGCTTGCCAGAAGCCCTCTATGAATGCAACCTTGTGACTTGGACACCTCTTCTAGAAGGAACAAGTACAATAAAAATGCCCAAAAATTGCTACAAAATCCGACCATTGTCGTGAGACTGAGTGGTGTATGGCGATGCTTCTTCCCAATGCCCAAAATCCCCATGTCAATGCTATGCCCTGAGGGAGAAATTTCTCTCCCTCGCTCGCTCATGCTCTAATACCAAGCAACACAAATGGACACCGTTAGATGCGTGTCGTAAATACTCCTTCATCCGTCTATTGAATTGTCGCGCTCATGTAGGCCGGCTCATCATGATCGTGAGTCCCCCCCCCCACTGCCAGACTAAAACCACGTCGGGGGAACGGACCAGTGCCGCAACATCGTGTCGACGGCCTTGTTCCATTCATATTCGAAGCAGGCGCCGAGCTGGGCCGCCTCATCGGTAGAGGGCTCGCGACCTCCCCACATCTCGGGCTTGGTGGCCTCCAGAGCTGCGTATCCGGACACGAGATCACTGCAATCGCAAGGGAACAAATGTCAGCCCTCATCTCTCATAGTATGGTTCGATCACGGTGATGGTAGTACTCACTCTTCCTGAATCTTGACAAGACACAACCAGGCTAGATTCCAGCTCTTGTTCGAATTGGGATCGTTGCGCACGCGGACGTGAGCGTCGTAGAGGAGGTCGCTGCAGAGGGGGTAGCTCCGCGTCAGGCCGCGGAGTTCCGTGAGAAACTGATTGCTGTTCACATAGTAGTCCCAGGCGGCGGTCATGGGTCCTTGGAAGGCTAGAGCGTCTTCCTCGTTCTCGCAGGTAGCCGCCACGCGCTCGATACGGCAGAGCTCTGTGAGGGTGTTGACTCTGTGCGTCTCTAGGGACTCGATGAGTTGTTGGATTGAGCGCTATGAATAATTCAAGGTCAGTACGGTGCCCGATGAAGAAGGAGGATCGGGTAAAGCAGTCTCATCTTGGACTTGAGAATTAAGATGGATGAGAAAGCTAGATGTAGTGATGCATGCTTGTTGAACAGGGGGGGTAGTACAAAGAGGAGACCGTGACTAACTTGAACCGCCCTTGGTTTCTTGCTACTCTTGGAGCTACGGTGGTGGCTTGATGACCCTCCCGAACGGCCGGAACGCGACGATGACATGGTTGATGACGGTCTGCGGGAAGGATGAGACTCCTGACTAACTGATGGCGGCGCAAAGGCGACAAGGATATCCTCGACTGTGTACTGCGTATCCGAGTCTATTTGATCTTCAAGCTGGATGATGTTCGTGTGGCTATGGTCAAAAGAAAGTGGCAGGTTCGGATCGGGGGAAGCTAGTGATATATCCTGTTCCTCGACTTCGAGCTTGATGCTCATCACGACAGACATCCACTTCGGGGTAGAATCTGCGAACCGAGTAGATGGGTCGATCGAAGTAATCAGACACCTTCCGGCTGGATGTGCCTCGCTGTTGGTAATGACGTCGGCGGGGCTCAGTGACCCAAGATAGCTGTTGAATACTCGAAAGAGATCCGCAGTAGTCGAACCGGAGACGGCGGATCACGAGATGAGTGATGATGTGAGTTTGCGGTGCCTCAAACAGTCGGCAAAGGCCGTCAGAAAAGCTTGGTATGGAGTAACACCGAAGAAAAGTCGCTTCTGTGTCGGGTATCTGAAACGACAAAATGTGTTTGTATGGTCAAGATTCGTTCTTCCAGAGCCAGAAGAAGAAGATTGCAGCCAAATGTGGCAGCATATGATAGTGCATCATATTGATATGGGCTGACCCAGCCACAACATATGTCAGTGCCGGACAACGCACCGGCAATGGTAGTCAATCGTTTGAACTCTAAACGGTGAGGAAGCATCCACCCGGAGGTAGACGTAGTCCGGAGCTGAGGCTGAGGCTGATGAAGGCATCGGAAAGGACGTCAGGGGTTACGGCAACCATATCAAAGGGGCGTCCACCAAGTCGACAGACCGAAGAATGGGTGTGCCATGACCAGGGACAGCGAAACGGGTGATCACTGGGCTCCTGACCAGAATCCTCAACCATTCCCAGAAGACCGGCTATGCTGCAGGTCTGGTTGAAGAACATGCTCGCGACTTCGATCACTCTTTCTCCCAAGACTTGGATGCTTGTGAGGGGACGACATGCAGTGTGATGGGCGAGAGAACGAGGTTAAGGTCAGTGATTGGCCACATCGCATACAGGTGCCGATGAGTAAAACTGCTGACAGAGCAGACGTATTTTTGTCTCGAGCTCCAGAAGAGCTCCCCACCCTAGCGGATGACGATGGGAATCGCGATAGACCGACCCCAGAAGCCGGGACAGCCTAAACATGCATGCTTCCGGGGTGGTTCTGGCTGCGCGAATGTCGTAGCTGCAGCCCTACCAGGCATAGTGTCAATGATCAGAGCCATCTCATAGGGTGTTTGGGCAGCCGGTCAACGGGAACAGAGGGTGGCAGGGTCCCCAGAAGACAACGTCAGATTTTAGTGGAGGACAGATCGTATGGCAGGGACTAATGGTTGCCCACCCCACGCCAGTCCCGGCCCGTGATTGTTCGGGCGTCCCCGGTCTATCGTCAGGTGAAGATTGCATATAGCGGACGTTTCGACTGTGGCGGAGGATGGCGAAACCCAGTACAAGGCATTACTGCTGACCAAGATGGGAGGCTCTGTCTGGCAATCCGACAGAGGTCTGTTAGCTTCTTCGGTGGAGGCTTGATAATTGTCGCCAATGGTCCAATAAGTCTCAGAGGGCTGGTTTGCAGTAGACGTGCAGACACGTGCAGATACGACTATGAATTGTAAAGCGACAAACGGACCTGGTGTTCTGCCGCGGTGCCAACGGAATACAGATTGAGGGGGCCGGAGTAGCATTGAGGCCGGGCACGGAGAGGACGTATGCAAGGATTTTAGCGGCACGTAGGCGCGAGTCTGCAGAAGTAACCTACAAGAGTGTCAAAAAGGGTCGAGGTAGATATCCGCAAGCGCGAACCAAGCTCTGTCTCAACCTTGCATAGCTCGCGTGGTGTTTGAGCATCCCAGACATCAACCACGTTGTAGTAGGTAAGTCGTACTCCGTAGATGCGGGGATGCTTCCATAGGGCTGAGTGTTAACTAGGTCGCTTTACCCACGGGTTGGTTGGTCTGCATTTCAGCTGCCCCGCCGCTCGAACTCTTTTATTCATTGTCGGAGGGGACTCTGAGCTCCGATCTGGACCCATTGTGAGGAATCTTGAATCCCTGCTGTGAAGGATTCGATCATTAGGATAGAGGTTGTCGTCTGCTTCAGGTTGGGCATCCTGCACGCTTGTTTGGCGTTCCTAGAGGCTGGGAACAGTACTAGGGTGATTCTGGTTCTAGACTTTGAGGCATGGCTAAGCCCGTGCCTCGGCTCCCAAACTTCCCGCTTGCTAGGGTCTTGGGCCAATGATTATGGGCCGAGGGGTTTCTTCTGGAAGTCGACGACGGGCTGCTGAAGTTGAGGCTGGGAGTAGCTGTAAGATCCGGCCCTACCTGAGCAGATCGATCGACATACTGTAGCCGTAAGGAGATCTGTCTGGTCGATCCTGTATCAACAGGATGCTCCAAAGGAAGCAGTTTGCCCCATCCGACACAGGATTCCAAGCGCCGAGCGAAAAGCATACAAAGATGTCAGAATAGCCTTGAAAACCCCGTGTTGGGTATTTGGCGAGGCAGACTCGAGGATTCTGTATGCCCCGGAGGAGCACTTGACGATGAGCCAAGCGCCGGAAGAGCGGAGATACCGGAAGCGCCGTCTATGGCCCAGGAAAAAAGGATTATAAGCGCGATGCGAAGCATTTGGTTTGCTGTGTTACGGCTCGAAAGGTCGGACAGGGCCGGGAGACTCGCGGTAGACTGGAGCAAGCGCGGCGACTAACACAAGTTGGGATGAGAGGACGGGATGAAGCATGGATGGAAGCTGGGAAGAAGAGAACAAGCAGACGGCAGACAGAGAAACGTCACACGCGCACACAGCGATCTGACAGCACAATGCTCTCGACTGCGCCACAGCCTAACGCGAGTGGCCCAGTTTATAAGCTCAAGTGGATACTATCGGCCAATGGAAATCCGAAGAAAGAGGGAAGCAAGGGCCGTGATTCGCTGCGGATGTGGCTTGCCCCGTCGCTCCTCCCTAAGCCTTCCGGCTCCTGATAATCCGACGAGACGGCAGAAGGAGACAAGGAGGAAGCTCCGTAGCTCTCATTCTTTCTTTCCCAATGGGGAATCATTTCTCATGGAGGGAGCCAACCTACCTAAAGGTACCTTTCAGGCATGTGCCTCGAGTTATGGCTCCTTCTTGAGCAGCTTCCACAGCTTCCAGGGTGTCTTGAATGCAAGATTGGAAGCAGTGCCTTGCATCCGCTCTTACATCCCTCCACTTGACAAGCACTTGCCATCGTGAACTCCGCCGGAGCCGGGGCGGAGGCGAAAGTCCTGTCGCCTGGTGCGCTCAAGTGCCTTGTATGGCATTCCAAATCTCCCCTCCATCTCCATCTCCATCTCCACCTTCACATCATCTCAACTTCAACACCCCCACGCCGGACGTAACCGGACCTCAGATTCTGTTGTGTCGGTAGTGGATTCTACCATGAATTAGACTCGCTGCCATGGCGAAATGGTCTCTGTTCGGGGCGCTTCGTCATAGCCAGTGATTCACGCCGAGACGTCACATTCTCACGACAACCGATGATATGTCAGCCGTCAACATACTGCACTCTGCTCTGTAAGCCAGAAAGAAATTATAGAATCGTTCAAGTTGACCAAACGTGACGTAGGTAAGTTAGAAAATACTTGACGGCGTTTAGAACAAGTCTGCAACCCCCACTCCTCGCGCAGACAGCTCGTTGGGTTGGTGAGATTTATGAGGTTGGGCTTACCCATCGCAGAGCCGATCACGTGTTTCTCACTACCTACTTCCAATTGTTTCTCTGCTGCTGACTGCATCGGGTAACAGCAATCCACTGTGTCGCACACCTTTGTTCGAAAAGATAATGATCGAGGTCCCCGAGCCCAGCGGCCTCCGCTTATCTCACGGGGTGGAGCTCTTTTCCACGGCCACATTGCCAGTAAACCTGCTGACCACACTCCGTGAACTCCGCGAAGTTTCAATATGCCTTCAATGACTTCATAGCAAGCCGACAACATCTAGTACGTTCATTACTGCGTCGTATTGGCAGACATCTGCCTGGAACAAGTCTGTCCAAACACACGTCGCTGTTGCCTGGATGACGAGACCTCAATGATCATCAGGTCAAACGTCATGCGGCATTCGGCACATGGTTGCTTGGAAGCTTGGTACCTCAAGAAACTCCTTCTTCCAGTACCTAGTCAAATACCTCTACCTTGGAATACAGTCTCAAGACCGGTCCGATTCCAGCTTGAATGCCTACATCAACTCGCCACCATGCAACTCCATCACTATCTCCGGATGTGCCGTGCTTTGCGCCTTCCTCGCCTTGCAACTTGAGTCGTGGATCAGTGTAAATGATTCTGGCCATGATTCCTCTCAGATAGACTGATGCTCCCAGCACTTTCGCCACACCCGAGTACGGGTAAAATATATTCAAGTCAACCAGGGCTTGAATTAAACGTCACAGTATTCAAGTAGCTCTATTCACATTCTACAGACGTAGATCAGCCACCTTCACGAGACCCTATGTAGTCTCATCATGTACAACAATACTGAATCAGAAACGAAACTCCCATTTGTGTTTTCCCACAATCTTCAATTCATAAACATACATGGCTTCAAAACAGTGGAAACAAAAGAAATATTCAACAACTGTTTACCAACTGCCCATTTGCGTAAGATGCCTCGAGCTCTCGCCAACAAGGAACGAATACTCTCCAAACGTAATCATCGCCCAGTTCTGTTGCCGTACGTCCCAGTAACTGAGGTCGCGGCGTGTCACGTTGAACGTGACGGTCTTCTTCTCGCCCTTCTCCAGGTTGAACTTGTCAAATCCGCGAAGGACCTTGACGGGGAAGTCCACGCCGTGCACATTCTTCGGGTACGACATGTACAACTGGGGGACGACCTTGCCTGCTACAGCGCCGGTGTTGGTGACGTCCGCCTGGATGGTGACATATGTCTCCCACAGATCGGGGTTACCGCCCTCTTCACCGCCGGCTTGGGATGGAGGTTGCTTCACCTCGTATCCGTCTGGATAAGGGTACGGTTCCGAAGAAATATCGTCAACGGTGTCCAAGTATGGGTACACATATTTCTCGAGCTTACGGAACCCCTCCGGAAACAAAGCCACCTTCTTGTCAGGGATCTTGTCACTGAATTTTGGTGGCTCCGCCCCGGGCGCTGGGCGAGGTGGAGGAAGTGCGCTCTTTTC